CTGATGGTCCGCTCACCATGATTTGGTTTACTGTGTTTTTAAACTTCAAAAATTTTAATCATGTTCTTCCTTTACATTAATATTTTTTTTAATTTTTTTTAAATAAAAAATTGTTGTAATTTTGAATTGTATTTCACAGTTGTAATGAAGTCAAAGTGTTTTGAATGATTTTTTTCATATGTGATTTGAATGGACTTTTATTTTGAAACAACTTCCGGTTGGCATGTATTACAAGTTCCTGTTTTATTTTGACAAGTTCCTGTTATGTTCACATCGTTTCCTGTTTGACGCATGTTTTTGAAAAAGTCACGGCAGGCTAGTTAGCAACTTAGCCCTGACCGCATGAGACGGAGGTTGAACTATGACGGACATGAAATCGAACTGAACCGTGAGTTAACGGTAACATTAGCAAGCTTAGCCTGAAGAAGATCTGTAAAGATCGAAACATCGCGACAGCTTGCTGTATTTTATGTTTTTATAAAAAAAAAATTTAACTGTTAAAATAAAGTGCAAGTGAGAAACAAATTAGCCTATTTTTATAGCACACAAGCTAAGCTAAAAAACCGAATCAACTAAATTTCAAACCTTTTTTATAGTTATTGAAATCAGACCTTTTTTACTAAATAAAAAACACAGTGGAGAGTGTTTTAAGAAAAGAAAATCTACCTGAATGGCCTTTAAAAATGCCCTGGCATCCAGACGAGACGGACGGCTGAACCAGCGTGAGCTACAGACGAGGCCGCAGGAGGGACCGCACACGTGCCGTTCCTGACAATGGAGCACAGAACCAACAGACAAGAAACACTGAGGTTTGGAGATGCTCTTATGCATTAGTCACCAGGGGCAGGCCATGCAGCAACCTCAGGGACCAGGGACCCTGGCATAATGGAGGCAGAGTTGAGTCCAGGTGGTATGGAGTTAGCAGGAGGCCGCAGCCCAGACCGAACAGCAGGTATGACCAGAGCCGCTCCAGACAAAGAGGCCCACAACAATATGACCACCAGAACCGAGTCCAGCAACCACATTGGCCACATGTGGGCTGGGACGATGGCTACAACAAGGGCCATTTCTAACAACGCCCCCCACAACACCAAGACCATCAGAACAGAGCCCAACAATCACACAGGCCACGTGCAGGTTCTCACGATGACTACAACCAGAGCAGCTCCAGACAGCGCTGTCTACAAAACCACAACTACCAGAACCGAAACCAGCAACAACGGTATGAACAACACAGACAATTTACAAACCAAACACAAAACAGACAGGAAAATAATGATCCTGATTTTACTGCCAAAGTGAGAATTCTACATAAACTGATYAAGGCAGTGCACCATTCTAACAACCTGAACACTGATCCACCTGCACTTCAGAAAATTGAACAAAATCTGGCCACAACCATCAAACCCTCCAACCCTACAGAAACCACAATAGACCTGATAAGAGGTAATGCTCGTAACTGGGCTGTCAACACGGTAATGATCTTAAAAGAGCATTATGAAGAGGGCATGAAAACAGAAATCCAAAAAAATGGGCTACTACTCCATAGAAAATTGGCTTGCCCCCTTTGACATAGCCACCAAGTGGGCTAAACGAAACCTGGGGAGAAAACTCTTAAATGAAACCCTGGACAAGGTACAGGCTATTGTGGTTGCTAAAATAAATGAAAATAACCACAACCCCACAGCACAGACACCAGCGGCAGCATCAGAACCATCAGCTGCAGCACCGACAGCATCGGCACCTTCGTCGGCAGCCCCTGCAGCATCAGGGTCATCAGCTGCAGCACCGACAGCATCGGCACCTTCGGCGGCAGCCCCTGCAGCATCAGAAACATCAGCTGTAGCACCGACAGCATCGGCACCTTCTGCGGCGGCCCCTGCAGCATCAGAACCATCAGCTGCAGTATCGACAGCATCTGCACCTTCGGCGGCAGCCCCTGCAGCATCAGGACCATCAGCTGCAGCACCAACAGCATCAGGACCATCAGCTGCGGCCCCTACAGCATCAGGATCATCAGCTGCAGCACCGACAGCATCGGTACCTTCGGCTGCAGCCCCTACAGCATTGGAACCGGCAACTACAGTGCCTGCATTATCAGAACCACCAGTGGCAGCGGCATCAGCGGCATCTACAATGGCAAAACAACAGAGATGGAAAACTCCACGCATSAGCTCTGTAGCCACCAGGCCTGAACCGGAAGAGGAGGGACATGAGGAGGAAATCATCCCCAAACTGACACAGGATCCTCCCTACACATTGACAGCAGCAGCCCACCCACATCAACCGAGGGAGCTACAGGAGAGCCTCACCGGCACCCAGACCCTCAAACCACATTGCGCCCAGCGGTTGTCAAATGCAGAAATAATAGAACTTCTTAATGAGCTAGCTGGAAAGTAGCAGAACACCCCAACAAACACCTCGCAAACACCAACAAGGGGAGCCCATCTTTAGCCCCACCCACTTTAAACGCCAACTGAGATCTAGCGTCCAGACTAAGTTGACATCCTCTACCATCCAAACGCCATTGACCAGAAAAACAACAGGGGGGCCTAGACCAATTCTGAGATCCAGACCTTTCCAAGGTCTGGATCTCAGCTTTAATCTAAAAGTTCAATGGAGTCTCTATGATGCTTCCCCACAGAGATATAAGCTTAAAACCAACAAAATTACACACATTTTTACATGAAATGAAACACTTTAAACATAATGACAATTTAAACAACTTTATTCTAATATATGCCGGTGGTTCACACGGGTGGGGCCTGCAGGCTGCTTCGAAAAGCTCCCGCATGTTTCTGGACTGGTCTTGTGAGAGTTACAGGGCGTAGAACCGGTCAGCCGTACTGGTGTCGTGGCACATGAAATGCGAGAGTTTGTGGCGCACCTCCGGACTGTGGCAGTTCCTGGCGTGAGTGGCAACCGATGTCCTGATGTCAGTGAAGGTGGGGCTTCCGGGCAAGCCCATGTCTTCCCACGCCAGCCGGAGGAACTTCAGGAGGGTCTTCCCGTTGGCCGGGGTCCCCGTGGTGAAGACACGGTTGTCGCTGGGCTCCAGTCGAGCTCGGAGACGCATCCACCGCTCCAGCCAGACGAACTCGTCCCGGGTCAGGTAGATCTGGGCCATCCCGAATGCCCAGTTGGTCTTGTGCTCCCTGACCTGGCAGAACAGACAAGAATTAGTAAAAAGGGTCCAGTGACACACACCTGCATCCAGGACGCGGTTACACTCACATTGATGACGACGCCGTGGCTTCCCTCCGGAAATGCGCTTCTCGTCGCCTCCAGCTCTTCCACCTTCATTTTGGCGATCACACCAGTCCTGTATCCGTAGATGGACAAAATGAAGGTGGCCGCGTAACCGTAAAACAGGTGCCTCATGGGTGGGACGTCTTCGTCCTCCAGCATGTCTGTGGGGATGGAGGAATATCGATTAAAAACAGTGACGTGGCTGCAGTGAACCTCGGATGTCGTGCACTTACCCAGCAACTCCGGAATCCTGCGGGCGGCCAGCTGTTTGCACGCGGCGAGGTGTTGCTGCGTTACAGCCCTGGAGACTTTGGCTTACTTCACGGCGATCTGGTGCACGACCACTTCCCTGCTCAGGTCGCGGAGGCAGCTCTTCAGGGCTCGGGCCACACCAGCCTGCTGGCTCCTCGTCAGACCGCAGGCCTCCGATGGGGTTTCCATGAAGTACTGCATGAACTGATGGATGTTTTTCCGGTACACGTTGACCGTGGTGACCGACTTGTTGGCTTCGGTTAGCKCCATGGTGTAGGAGAATTCTGTCGATGTTATTGACAATTGTTAAATTATAAATTCCTCGCAATTTATTAGCATGATAAAAGGGGGCACCACCTGGTAATCCAGGAAATTAATTTATAGATCTTAAGTCAATCTCAAATACTGAATAGTGAATTCTACCATTTTAAAGAGTAAACCAAATAATGAACGCACAGACGAGCATAAATTTCAAAATATACCTTGTATTAATTGATTCAGAGGTAAAAATACAAACAAATTATTTGGCAACAGAAACCATTATTATCAAGACCTTGAGGTTTAATAATAAGCGTCACTTTATCACCCTTTAATCATCTCTAGCATCATTCTAACTGAACCTCTTCTAAGCTAGCCTACACTAACAAAAATTATAAGAAACTTAAAGGTTAATAAAAAGGAAGAATTAATCCATCTATCAAGGAGGAGCGTAAATTATAAAGAGACCAAGTTATGTGGTGGAAACACAACTTGCGTTAATTCCAACTTGTTGCATTCACATTAAGAGAGCCTTCATTTTCTCTTGTGTATCTCTTTAGGCGGCCGGCCAAGGCTTGGAGCCTTAGTTTGGCAGTTTCGAATACTTCAGGTATGGGCATCTTGTTGTACTTCTTGGGTACTGATCTTTTCATTGCACCCCTTAGGAGCTCTGACCTTATATATATATATATATATATATATATATAATTTTCAGACTTTTTTCAGTATTTTCAGATGTTTTGTGAACAATCTGAAACTGTGACTGCTTTGGACCTACCTTCATCCTCTAATATTATTCTTGTCAGAAATCAAATGTGCTCAATGGCAAAATAAATAAGCTGGTATTTTTCCGCTTGGGTATCTGTTACCAAGTGGACGCAGATACTCCTGTTTCTGAAACAGAAAAAAACTGTAGCTCTCATTGGACCTTTCAGAAACATTGCACTCTATGTTCATCCTCAGAGTCTTTCAAACCAAAATATTTTTTTCATAACAGACTTCCTTCTTCTTCCGTCTTTGTCCAAAAATTCATCCAAGTTTTCTTCAACAGCCTAACCCTAACCCTAACCCTATCACACACAAAGCATCCACAACTCTAAAATTAATGTTTAAAGAAAGTAAACCTCTTGAGTGAAGCTAAATTGCAGTTTTTCTAGATGTTTATTGTCACAGAATGTATGTTATCTGGACACAGGTGTAATGTGACAAAAGAACATACAATGCAGTGCACTTACATTTTAAACACTACAACTCAGGGGATTCCTATTAAAGTGCTGTCTCTATGCCTTTGGCCCTTTTGTACTCAGTAAAATGATGATCGAGCACTAGATAATTTTAAAACCCCATGTTAGTGTGTTTGTAGCCCATTTTATTAAGAATTTCAAATCAAAGCTAGTTAGTGTTAAATTATTTTAGTATTGTTTATCTTTTGTGGTGACTGGTGGCAAAGCCAGGCTGTGATAGCTTTCTTTGACCACCAGGGGGTGCTGTTGTAATACTGTTAAGTGAAGTGATACCCTTGTTCCTCCCCAAAGATTGAGTCAAAGCTGGATTCTGTCAGAAGTTCATGAGCACATTTTAGCAGTCATTTTATCTACTAACCCTTCCTTCCCTGCAGTACTTTACATTTCCCAATCATCTATTGGCCTCACACCCTGATTTTATTCTGTACTGAGATTAGAATGGAGGAAGTATTCATCAGAATCTAGCTGAAAAATCCACATAAAAATGAGACAGCTGATGGTTTGCAGGGGTTTGACTTAAAAGGCAAGGGTTTAAGAGTCATGTGGTCTGGCTCAAAGATCAAAGTCTCAGCCAGCAGTATTTATCTCGTAAATAACTTTTAAAGTCTGTTGATAATGTTTTGAAGCAGCTCAATTTGAATATCTAAACATTTATTTGAAGTACCACAAAAATACAAGACAGTCTTTATTTCACATTAACAGGATTAATCTTTAAATATATTATCTTATATATTAAATATATAAGACTGGAAAATTTTGCCAGTAGATGCATCTTAAATCTATATTTGAAAGTAAAAATTAGCTTACTACGTTGAAAACAGTTATAGTTTGAGCTCAAATAAACAGCCGAGAGAGCAAAACACATTCAGTCAAGGCACGTTATTTACTCTGGATTCTAAATTACAGATGAATGTTGTAACTGAAACTGCCAACAATAGGGAGTACAGACTGTGAGAACTTGCTGGCCAGAAGGAGAACTTTGACCCAAACTGCTGCTTCTCATCTTCATTTTTTCACTGTTTTCAACCTCTGATTTCCCCTTCTCTCATTACACATTTATCTTCATTTCCCCTTAAATATTTCACCTCCCCTCCTTTTCCTGCCCCGTTTTCCAGGTTGCTGTGTCTACTGACAGGGGTGGACTGAGGCAAAAAAGTGGCCTGGGAATGTAGTACCTGACTGGCCCATTCAAGGTCTGGTCTGGCTGAATGCTGGAGGCAGATGATGGAGACAGAAACAACAGTCATCTCAGGGCACTGTACAAAATCTAAGGATGTAATGTTGAGGAGTTAGTAAAGTTATTAAGACAGAGCAGCAGTTAGCTCACAGGCATTGACCCTCAGAGTTCCATATCGTCATATTGACTCATTTTGATTTTACCCCCCAAAAATAACATTATTATAATCTAATGTTTCGTTTTCTTTTTCCAGCACATGAATTGTGTGAATTTGAACTATTTTTTCCTTTGAATATGTTATTGTATATTAGACCTTAGTTCAATAAATAAATAAATAAATAAATAAAAATCCAAGTGGGCAAGGTTATTTGTGAAACCTACAAACATTTATGATTTTTATCTTTTAGAATGCCAGTGTATGATGTACATTTCTAAAACTGATGTTAAAACATTTTAAGCAACAGTTTTATAAAATTATCAGCTACTGAGCACAGTTTGGACCTAGTCCACACATGATATTGGCTTTGTTTATTTAATAGCTAAATGCAATGTTTTAAAAGTTAGCAAACAAATACAGCCACCTACATGAGTACCATCCTCCTCCCGGTCACATTGTTCTCCAGGTTCCAGTGAGGATGAGGATGATGATGCACCAGCAGAAAATAAATGTCAGTTTTTGACACTTTGCTGAATTTGCTTGTGGATGCTTTTTTTTCTTTTCTCTCTATTTTTGTTCTCCTCCCTTATGTTTATTCCCCATTTTTGCTCTTCTTATTTTTATTATTCATTTTCTTCCACTTCAGCAAATTTTTCTTCTTCTTCAGTCTTTGTCGGTGGTTGGTAAACAATGAATTGGTACATTATTGCCATGTACTGGTATTGAGTGCAACTACACAACGTTTTTTTTCCCTCGCTGCCTGCGCCGGCCCAGTGAAGCACCGGCCCATCGGGAAAAGTCCCCGTACTCCCAATGGCCAGTCCATCCCTGTCCACTGATTCTCAAGAGGCCCGCTGTTCAGAGGGGTGGGGTGGGGGGGGGGGGGGAACAGTGAAGGACTTTTGAATGTGGCAGCTTTTGACCTACATTCATCCTCTTCTTCCTCCTCCACCTCTCCCTACTCCTTTTTCCATCATCATCATCATCATCATCATCATCA